TTCTGTTTGACTGCAAACTCAGCTACTAAAAAAACCTTCAAAAGACAATGCTTAGTTTATTGTGACCGACCCTCCCTCTAAGAAGCATTTACTCCTACGTGAACATATGGTGTGCTGTATGAGCTGTGTGCATTGTATAAAAAAATACTTGGCTCTTGTCCCTAAAGAAATTATGAATACATTTGACTGCATTTTCCTAATAAACTTCCTGGGATGATGTGGGTGGGCGGAAATACAACCACAAGTGATAAATACAGCGAGAAGCTGCTCCCCAGAAAAGCGGCTAATTAAATTTTCATGTAGATAATGATGAGGTAATCCATTGCTAATTGTGCTTGTATCCAACACAGTGGCCCCCTCGTGGGATCCAGCATCACGCCCATGCAGCATTTTCTTTGCTTAAACGCCTCATAGATTTAATGGACTTCCATAAACTGATCCTCTGCAGCTCCTTGCACACGGCCACACAGAGCCTGAACGCATCCATCAACAATAATCCCCTCAATGATCGCCATTTTATCTTTTCACTCTCCTCCTCCTCCTCACTCATGTCCCTACACAGGGCTTAATTACTGGTGTGAAGTAATTATTTCCTTTATTAGTGAAACGTAACATCTGTTTTGGGTCTTTTAAATTCTATCTATAAAACCCTTGCATGATTTCTGTCCCTTTAGGATGGGACTGGGCTGCTTGTTGCTCCCTATGGACCCTCCTCCCCTCACCCCCAGCATGCTGCGGTGCCGAACTCGATCACTGTCTTTGAAATCCTTTAAAGAACCAACGCGGAGTTCACCGGTGTTTTCACAAGCGCTGAAAGCAAAGACAGCCTTTTTTTTAACAAGGAGGCCAAAAATATACTTGCACAGCCATGTCTCCAAACTGCCGTGGTCGTAGTGCTGCATCCGTTCTCTCAACTTCTCAGTGTATTGTTTTTAGTAAAGCATGCATTCATTCCTGTGCAGCATACTCCCAAACGCCATGAGAGAAGACCGGCTGCTGGGATTGGAAAGACGGGAACGTGGTAAAAGGGAAAGGAGGATGAAAGAAGTGAGATTCCTGACATCCTAGGGAAATGTTGTGCTTGTATTAATAGACTATTCTCCCTTTGAAATTTTATTCGCCATAAAGTTGACAGTATGTTGTGCAATTTCTACAGACCTTTCTATCTTACTTCTTTTTAAACAAGACGGTCGTGCACCCCAGTGTCTAAACAATTTAACAACAAAGTTTAACTTTCCTCGACTGATGCCAGCAACTACACAGGCAGAACAGGTGTCATCGTCAAACTGAGACCTCCACGGAATAAATAAATCTATAAAAACCTCACATAGTCATCAACTTCCATCAAACACTGGCCAGTGAGTTGGAGACAGTCCGGCTTCTGCTGCTCTGTCCTTTTAGCGCTCTCCCTCTTAATTTTTATGGTTCCTGCACCTTCAGGAAATGACCCTTTTATAGGGTCAACACTATAAAAGACTTGTTTTTTTGTGGGAGTGGTTAGTGGATGAGTGTGTGTGTCAGCATGTGTGTGTATGGTGTGGGGGATAAGTGTTCAAGTTACTACCGGTTCGTCTTTGCTGCCAAAGAAAGAGACCCGATGAGGTTAATAGTCTCCTCTTCCAATATATCACATAGCTGTGAACTCTGTGACCCTTTTTGTCAATAGGAGAACTTTTCTCTGGAGTGTGTGTGTGACTGTGGGAGTGTGTGTGCCTGAGAGAGCATCCTCATGTGTCTACACAACTGTGCACATGTGGAAATTTGTACATTTGTATCATCACATATGTGTACATTTTCCAAATCAAGATTTGTGTAAACCTGTACTTGAGGATTATATAATAATAGCAGACTTACACTTTCTCATCATCCAATACATACAAGCAATTGACAAGATCAACTTGTGGGTGTGAAATAGTTTTATAAAGTAGAAGTTTCAGTACTAGCTGAATGTTAAAAAAAATGCTTCAATCCTCAATGTTTTTTGGCAGATAGTCTACTGAACTGTTATGTTTTGGACACACTGCTATGGATAATGTAAACGTGGACTAAATACACAGAGGGAGGCTAAACAAGTGCTGCTCTCTGCTGGATTCTCTCTTTCTGGACAACGTTAAAATTACTGAAAATGTATCACAACAGAACGTTTTTCCAAGGGGCAAAGATAATACATTATCTATCAACCTAAACTCACGTCAAGACTATTCACAGTCCACAAAGGTGCCTCTTCTTTTAAAATTGCTCTGAAGAGAAGCTTGTGGATACTGTGGTGTTATTCAGCATCTTAGCAAGAGGACGGGGGCGATAGCCCACTGATTGGAGAGGCAGGTCTGCTCTAAATCTCCTGGACAGGTAATAAATGAGAAACTAGTGGGGTCAAATCCTCACCCCGCGTCAGGCAAAACTGAGATACAAAATGATCCACAGATTAACGTATATCAAAAATGTTAATGCCAATATATATGTTAATAAAGTCAACACTCGCTCCCAATGCTGCGCTACAAAATGACCCCAATAAACTCTTCCAAACAGACCCATTTTGAATTTGTGAACAGTGAGCTGAGCAGTTACCTACACAACACACTACATAGAGAGAGAGAGAGTCGTTTTAGTGCTGCACTATGATATAAATAGCTGTACTTTTCCATGAAATTTCATAGTAATTAGAGACCAGGAAGCATGGACCCTCTCAACCCCCACTGCGGCACCCACGTACCTTGAGTGAATACTAAGAAGCAACTCTGGCACAGGTCCAGTTCAGTATGTGCTGTGCAAACCCACATGGCCCATCAAAGGCAGTGTGCACGAGCGTGAAAGGGTGATTGGGTTCGAGGTGCGCAGGGAATAGTGTTTGAAGTCCTCCTTCTATCAGAGAGACAGAAAAGGCACTTTTAATCCTGTGAGATCACTAAAGCGCCACAGGCGAAAAGAGATGCACTCATTCTTTCAACTCTTTCATGAGTACCGGAGAAAAAGAAGAGGAAGGAGAGAGGGGGCTAACAGGGAGGAAGGTGGGGGGGGGGGGGGTGTTGGGTGGAGGGAGGGGTGAGCGGTGTGAGAGAGAAAGAGATGGAGCAGATGATAAAAACTGCAGCTGAGATGAGGCAAACACCAGATCAGGAAGTGCTGTGAGATGACAGATACAGCAGTAATGTCAGTCATTAGGTCCTGTGGCTGCAGGCCGTTAGAAATATGCAATTAGCCGGCGTCATGCATAAAGCCCTTTTGTGGCTTAGATAAGGTTTCAAATCACTTTGGATGGTGTGGTATGAAGGCGTGCAGAGGGTGGGAAGCAAAGAGTCAAAAAAGCCCTTAGAGAATAATGTTGATTTCACTTGTAATATGCAGATGAGTGTGTGCATACAGAGTTTCATGTTGTCTGTATTTAGAGGTCGGGAGAGAATAATAATGAATGTAGGATGGATGTGCACACCAGAGAGATGAGAGCAAGTTATTATAGAATATATTGGACAGAGAAATTATTTTGTGAAAATGTCTTAAAAATAAATGGTCCACAAAGTTAAATGGTTGACAAATGGCAAAGCAAAAGTTTTACGCTCTCTCTTTCAATTCACCTGTCAAATTTAAGACATTTTAGAATTAATTGAATTGGATTGATACCATTAGTGCAACATTTTGCAAGATTAAAACCATTGCCAGTTAAAACCCTCCAGGCAAAATAGCAAGGATAGAAATAAAAAGTTACGTGATGGTTGATTTGCATATTTTAAAATGTATCCGATACTGTGCCAACAAGATAGATAGATAGATAGATAGATAGATAGATAGATAGATAGATAGATAGATAGATAGATAGATAGATAGATAGATAGATAGATAGATAGATAGATGGACCTTCTAATGTGGAATTAATAGTGTCACACAACACATGAGGCCAAAGTCTCTTCCACATAGGCGTATCTTTGTTCACAAAAAACCTGATTATTTGGAGAGTGTTTTATCCGCCTTGTGCAGAATATATTACGTGTGTAAATGTTGTTGAACCCCGCGATTTGCCAGGAAAAGGTCACACACTCCCCTCGACCTTAAGTGATTCTCTGTCTTTGTGTACTCGTGGTGAAAAAAACGAGCTGCGCCCATAAACTTCGCATTTAAAAGGCAAGTGCGGCGGAGGGGGGCCGCTGCATGAGGGGAACAATAGCAGCTTTTTGGACACACTTTTTCTCACTGCGATGAACAGCAGGGAAACCGGTAGAGCCTGCTATAAAAGACCGATAGAGCACAGCTGCCAGGGTTCAACAGTAATTTTATAAAATGTCTCCATGGGAACTGCATGCCTGCGGTTTATCTGTGGGTTTATGGGGAATTATACACGAGCAAATTGTTAGAGGGAGAGAAATAAGGGAGCCTTAAGACGTGATCATAAATGCAGAGATGAAGACCTTTATGCAAAAGAACAGAGGACGAAGTGACGTAACTGCCAGCCAAATGCAGCAATATCTCTAAGTAATGCACTTGACATTCACAAGGGTCCGTCATGCGTTGACTCCCCGTCGAACACACAACAACATCTAGCAGAAGGAAGTCTGAACATGACAGCAGGTGGAGTGAGGAGCTAAATATGCTCCAACACGGCTTAGTCCTCCACAGTCATCATCATCATAGTCACCATCACCATCATCATCATTCCCACAACGAAAACAAAAGTCCATCGGGCCTCATTGGAGCGGTCGGAGTCAGTGATGAGGCTCGTTATGCTGCAGATTATTATCAGTTATTATCATTATTATCAGTTTCACTCCTAATCCATATTTTGACAGCGGTGACCACCTGATGACCCTTTTCTGTAATATTATCAGTCCGCTTCAGACACACAGAGTAGACCCTCAACCTCCAAAACTATAAGTTAGGTCACTGACTTGAATGAGTACACCAGAGACTCCACTGTCAACGGAGCAGGCCTGAGTCAGTTGAAACTGCTCCGCAATTACGCGCATGACGCATTTGGAGAGAATACTGTTGGGTTGAAAACTATTACTCACGCTCAGAGGCCATGGTGATCACGGACTCCGTGGTGGCGTGGTACTCATCCTCCTCCATAAACTCATCCTGGGACGACGCGTCTCCCTGGAAATCGTGATGGTCCAGCAGCTGCTGGAGCGGAGGCGCCTTGGGCAGCAGCTGATTGACCACCTCCCGACTGATGTTGGGCGCCTGCTTCAGGCGCAGCTTGCTCAGGATCTGGGACTTGATGGTTTCAAGTCTCAGCACTTTGCTCTGCTCCCTCCAAACACAGGCGGAGCACTCGTGGGAACCAGCGTCCTCGTCCAGCAGGGACAGCCCGGCATCCGTGGGCGTCTCGCTGCCAGAAGGCAGCAGCAGATTGGGCTCATCGCTTCCCGACTGTCCTAGGGAGATGAGCACCATTAAGCACAGTAAGAAGTTGTACCTCTGCATGACGATGCGCCGACACCAGGCAATGCAACTTTTTCTCTTTTTGTTTCTTGTCTGTTCACTCGCTATATCCCGTTATATCCCCTCTGTCCGATGTGCGCTTCTCCTTTCCTTACCCTACAAGAGGCAGGCAGTCAGTGACATGCATCTAATCCAATACGATCACCCCGAAGTGCTGTTTTTTGCCAGGGGCAGATTTTGCACTCAATTTCCCCCCAAAAAAGTACGTTCCAGTGCGTCTCGGACAGGCTGTTTGGATTGAAAGTGAACAAATTACGTGTCTGATGAATGCATAGCCCGCTCACGTTTAGTGCAATGGCTCTTTTGGCGTCTTCTGTACAATTTAGTCCATGGAGGTGTGTATATGTTCAGAAGTGTCACTGAAAAATGTGCAAGTGCGGTCAAAAAGGGGGCTCTTTATATATCTCTGCTGCCCGGTGTCGTAATCCGTCTCCATTGGCTAAGAATGCAACAAAAGGCTTTTAGGTCTGTCACCAAGTCAAGAGGGACAGAGCGAAGGGAGGGTGCACGCACTGTTATGGGAGTATAAATGTTTTACAGTGCACAAACAATGTCTCGCATTAGAGATATTGCCCAATTAGGTTATTATGATGATGACATAATACGGCTCATTGCGCCTGTTGTTACAAATTGTTTATTATGGTGTAAATTGAAAATAAGCTTCATTGTCTCAACCCGAATTCATCACGTCAACTCCTAAATTAAATGCTTTAGATATTTAACGTTACGATGAATTTTAACAAGAAACCCACGGATGACGAATCTTCGTGTAGACCTACCAGATGGTTAGATGCTTATTTTTTAAGTTGTATGCGCTTGTCCAATACAGAGCTCTCTAAACTCTGCATCAGAGTATCTGTGTAAACCAGTAAAGTCATAACTGGTCTTTTCGTTTGAAATGAATGGCTCTACAATGCACTAACGTGGTTTCAAGAAGGCTGCATAGTAATACAAGATGTACGTTTAATTTAAGTCATGCAGTAGCAGCTATCTTGCTATTATAACGACTTTTTAATAGGCCTATAACACTATTTATATTGCATTTGCAATGATCTTTGTAGTGTGAAAATGTCGCATTTTGAATTGTTTCTTGATGATATTGTCATATTTGATCCGTTAAAGCCGCAGTATGTCAAGACCTTGGACCTGATCAAAGTGGTTCCTCACTTGAGACCACTAAGAAATGCTGCATGTGTGACAAATTATTTGCTTAATGAAAGCTGTGATAGTTGTCGAACTGGTTTCTTTATGTACAAATTGTGCTTCACGCAATATTTGGGCTGCAGGCTCTGCGTAAACCGTCACTGACCCACTAGTGTCGCCTGCTGGACGGAAACAGAGTTGCAGCTGCAGGATCGTTCACGTTTTATGTGTGCTTCATTTTCCATTGCATGTTGCAGTGAGATCATGGTATTTTGTAGTGAAACACGGCCCAGTATCAGCTTGAGAATAAAATAGTATTCCATATTTAAATATAAAATAAGACCAGAAGTGAGTGAGGGTCAAGCATTAGAGCAACTGAAATAAATTATCCTTTTTGGTGTTGAGATGGAGCTCCTCAGACATTGAAGGAAGGAATCTGTTATGAAGCTAAAATTAAACATCAAAGCACTACTGACCAGACGGTTCTTAAAAAATAATTACAGATTGAGTGACAAAGTGTAACAGCCTTAGATGAAATGAAAACCATATGCCCTCAAAGGATCAGATAACAAATGTGTTTACTGTTTTTATTTGAGCAAAATGCATGTCCTTGCTTAAAGTGTTTGACGGTTTTCATGTTTCTTAATGCAGATGGAATTTCAATAATCAATATTAAATTCCACAACCACAATAACAACTTGAAAGCTAAGCATCAAATCTAAACATGAGTAATAAAGCTCACCCTTTCAGCAGAGGTGGAAATCAATTATTACATTAGGTCTAGTACTATATTCAAGTACAATTTTAAATAATTGTATTTTATGTCTGTATAAATATAAGGCTACAGCCATCAAAAAGTTAGCTTAGCTTAGCAACAGTGGGAAGCAGCCAGCTGACTCACACTGTGAAAGTATCTTTACATTTAGATGAAGAGAGACAGTAATTGAGGACTGATATGCATTGTACATGAAATACTATATGTCTGCTGAATGGGTGCAAACACGTCCCTGTTGTTTATCTGTGCTAATGTGTTTGAATGTGGGACTCACCACGGCTCACCAGAACATAAACTCTTGTGTCTGATGGCTCAATTCCATTCAGCTGCTTTGGTTTCATGGTCATGTATTGTGCTCATAAAATAACACTGAGATATTTTTAATGTTATTGGTCATACATTTGCTTTTGCTACTTAGACAAATTAAAATGTCTGGGCAGAAATATGCATGCATTAATCAGTTATAGCAATAGTTCATCAATGAATGAAGTACACAAATGTAATAGAATAATAATGAGAATCAAAGAGATACATGAATCTAAAGTAAGACATCATTCCATAGACATCCTCCTTGCCCCTTGTCTCCGTGGAGAAATTAAGTTGTCATATTAAATTATTATCTTCAGCCCTATCCTTGAGATTTGGGTGGAAAGTTTTGAGTTGGAGCAGTGCTTCATAATCCAATTTGTTTTTTATGCTGATGATGATGATGACTAATTTTGCATGGTGATTTGAAGGGACGATTTGGATGTTGCCTATGTGTGTATTGTAATGCAATGTGGAGAGTTTCTACCCTCATCTACGTAAAATACACAATATTAGCTCACATGAACATCCGCGACTACACCTCGTTTTCCTCGATGAGTTTCAGAACTTGAAATGTGCCTCGGTGCTTATCTGAACCTGGACTTATTTAAAAAAACGCCCAACAGTTTCTAAACAGTGATTTTTGGCTTCATTCTGTGACTGCGTGGGCGAAGTGAGGGCGGGTTTACAAGTTTGGTCCCCGTGGCTTTCCGTAGGTGTCGGCCTGGGCGTCGGCAATATACGTCACTCCCAGCTGCTGCGTACAAAACTAAACACCAAGCACCTCTTCACTCAGAGAGAGCGGAGGTGTCTCTTACGTAAACGAAAATATTGATATAAAACATGCATTCTGTCACGCTGGACAGCAGCGGTTCGCCGAAGAAACGGACGTTATCTCGGGGACTGAGCGAGGACGAGTCGCTCCGCAGTATCATAAAAGAGGTGAGCGGCGTCGTTACTGATTGTTTGGAGCTCGCAAAAAGCACAACGACAACGATGTGATGGCGCTCAGTATTGGACTTTAAAAAATATTTAACGTCCGTTAAGTCGTCTTTGTGAATTTAATTTGCCTAACCTTTTGAGGATTACCGACGACTCAAACGAACACTTGGGCCTGAGGCTTCCGTTCACTTCCTCATTACTGACGTTAGCATAGCAACCGTTAGCCTGTTTATGTGTAATGTGTTGCTAGGCTCTTTCACCAACCCGCGGTGCTGTTTGGTTTTGTCTCCTTATCAGGCCGAGATTTCAACCAGGCGTCTGACACGAAGCGACAGCCGAGCGGGGACCCTGAAGAGGCGGACTGACAGTCAGGTAAGAGCCAGGTAACATGAGCGTGAGCCATGGGTGGACCGGTGTTACACCCAAACTGTTTTTTAAACCTTAACTGGTTTCTCTACGCGTGCGTATTTGTAGTTTAATGATGAAAATATGATTTGTAATTGTTTGCGTTGCACGTTTTTGAGGTGCTTGAGTATTTCCATTGTATGCTGCGCTCTACATCTAACGTCACTCCATTACATTTTAGAGGGGAATATTTGTACTTAGTATTAAACCAACTCAGTTTGAGATTCATGATTTATGTAATTCTGATATGCACACACAATGCAACGTGACATATTAACCACTGATTCACAATATTTTTTTTTTTTTAAATCAGATAACTAGATTTGTTTGACAAACTGCTTTTGTTATTGGTACATAGGTAAAGGATCATCCTCACCTCATCCTGAAGCAAATGCTGAACTCTGAGCTGTTAACATGCATCGTGCTATACAGTGTTTATATTGGGTCCCATTTTGATAGCTGTGATTATGCTGTAGAAATGTTTGCTATGTTTTTGGAATTGTGACGGTAGATTATGAACTCCATAAAAAGGAAAACAAAGGAGTTGACCAGATGAAGCATTGGTGTCCTTCAGACATACTGAGAGATTAGTTCCTGCTAGCACAGTCATTCAAAGTTTAACCCCGTCCATTACTGGGAACAGCTGCTATCACACAGAGAATGTGATAAGGTGAGATTAAATATTAACGTCTACATTCCTAATGAGGTCACAGGATTTAAGGAAATGCCAAAATTGTGTAAAATGAAATGTTTCATAATACATTTTTTATTTTTTTGGGGACTAATAAGGCATTTTTTCATGGCAGACCTTTAACTTGTCGTTAAGTTGTGACATTTGCTGACAAGTCATATTCTATTTGTGTGGAGAGAAGTGAAGAAAAAATATCCAATATGATCTATTCGAACATGCTTCTCTTTATTGCACAACTATAAACATTATTTACAAATTAACTACTTTATTTCCCTCCTTTCAGCAGTCCGACCAGGAGCTCTACATGGGACTCCCAGAAATGGTGAGTATTTCTTACTGTTACTATGACTATTATTATTTAAAGTGTGGTGAACTGTTCCATCAGCCCTCATAGATCACCAAAGTGATGCATATTCTTTTCCATGCTGAGGGATTGTCGGCCTCTTACTGATGCCTCTGAGAGCTTACTAAGCACTTGTCCACCCACTGATGGGGATGTGTTCCTCTAAATTTGCCCACACTGATCTCTAACTGTTTTTGTGGTGCAGCTGGAGCTCCAGGCCAGCTATGAAGAGGTGGTGCAGGAGCTGCGTGGGCTGGAGGTCGAGCGAGAGACTCTGTTGTTCCAGGTGGACGTCCTGCAGGACACGCTGGAGAGTGTAGAGGAGCTGCTGGCAGAGGCCCAGAGGGAAGCTGGACAGGCCAGTACGGTGCGTTGAGGCTTCACTAGTCTGAAACACCACTTAAAAGCCTAATTTTTACACGTCTAACATCGGCAATATAAAGAAGTGTTTTAGTTTTCAATCTCTGCAATAACAAGTTTGTTTTTTCACTTGATTCAACAAAGTATGACGCTGACCAACTGTTTTTCTTTTAACTTTTAGGAGTTGGAACGAGAGAGAGAGGCCAAAAAGAAATCGGAGAGCATGGTTTGCTCTCTGATGCAAGAAGTGGAAAGTTTAAAAGAGGTGAAATGGGAGGAGAGGAGGCATTATTACACCAAACGATATATATATCTTTAGATATCATGATAAATGTTTAAAGTCGTCTAAGATGATAATAACAAGCACTCTTATCAAGCACAAAAGCTCTTAAATAAATTATAAAATACTTTTTATCTGTCAATTATTAAACAAACCACATTAAACAAAACCATGTTTTTTTTCATACTGACTTTTAATGAATTGAACTAGCACAACATCTGCTATTTTGTTGATGTATGAAAAGATCTATATTGTGATGATCACCCCAAACTTAATTTGTCGCTGAATTAAAAAAAAAAAAATCCTGTAAGGTCAAAATCATCTGAGCCTTTGTAGAACTGGGATGTTTTATTTATTTCACAATCAGGCATTTAGTTGTTTTATAAAGTTTGATTTTTCATTTGTTTCCCTCCGTGTAGTTCGGAGAATGTATTAAATTATCATGCACATTAATATAAGTAGCACACCGCTACATTGTGTTTTATCTGGAAGGACACTTCATTTAACAGCGAACCGCTTGATATCCCTTTGCAGGAGAGGAATAACAAAGCATCTGCGACAGTGGCCGCGCCGTGTGGGAGTCCCCAAATAAAAAATGATACAAAGGAATTGACCAAAAGCTCCCAGCTGTGTGAACCTCACGGTGGTGGAAGCCAAGGCCAGGCGTCAGACAAAGGAGGACAGAAGGAAAGGGCAGAGGACGAGGAATGCGTCCTGACGAAGGTGCAGAAGGTGGTCACCAAGCCGCTGAACCAGTTGCCGTCTCTTGCGGTGGATTACCCATCAAGTGAGGACGGCGTCCTACGGAGGCCTTATGAAAATGGTGTCGCGAGTGGACGAGATCCCTCTCCCGACAGGAACGACTCAGACAGCATAAGTGCCTACGAGGATGCTTCTGCTGAGACTCCAGAGCAGGACAGGAGGTTTCCGGATGAATTGGACAATTCGGAGCTGCCTGATGATTCCAAAAAATGTTCTACTAAAAGCTGCCTGGTCGATGACGAGAAAACCAAAGACCCAGATAGCTGTGTAGTGTCTTAATGTGTTCAACCTACTACTGGACGACAGGCCGAAGGTGATTGATTGATTATTGGTAATTTGGTATGATTCAAGAGCTCTTTGATCTGATAACGATGTTCTTAAAAAACTTTGAGGCCAACAATAAAACGTCCCTTTAGGCTCTGGGTAATGATAATTTTACACTAGGTTTTACAATTGTTTTTAACAAAATAATGAATTATCCCTCAGCTTACTGTATAATTAGTTATAATTTTATACTGTTATACACTATATACATAATACTATTTTACAATTCTATATTTCAGTTTTAAATACCAGACAAAGAAACTCAGGATCCATTTGTTAACAAGCTGAAATTCAACTAATGATTACTTACTATTATTTGCCAATAATTTCTTTTTATCTTTGTCATATTTTTTGTAATTGGTGGATCGGACTATAGTTCGTGCTGCTTTGTCTGTTTGCCTCTTTTGTTAAGGTTTGTTTGTATACTAGCCGCTGCCAGGTCATTCGTCGAGATGACAAAACAGTGAGCTCTGTAATTATATTTAATGGGAACGGTTACTGTTTTTGGCTTCTATAACGTCAGAAATGCAGGAATTTGTATAAGCAGCAGTTGCAGAGCCTGCTGGAGGATCGTTTTGAACAGGGTCAGCATCAGGAAGTTAAGGATGTTTAAAATATTTTAAATTACAGATTTCTTTTTTTAATTAAGGGAAAATGCTATTTATGTGCTCCCTTGCTGATCTTTAAAAGAAGATTCACTTTTGTAACTTTCTATTCACGTCCCCTTTTCCTGTTTTTATGTTGTTAGGATATTTAGGGAAATAGATTTGGCTGCATTTGCACTTTTTTTGTATTGTGGCATAACATTGTCCAACTTCATTAGAAACGATATTCCTTTGACAACCAAACGCGTCAGCGAGAAGTAACGAGCGGCCCTGCTGCAGGCTTCTTCTCTGTCTGTGATGCTGTATGTTTGCAGTGAAATTGGCTAAAAGTAGTCTTTCATCTTCTGCGATAGCCACAAACCCTTTTTATTTAATTAGAATCTTTTGTTTGTTTTTTACTGAGATTTCCTTCTTGCTCGATGCTGGTATGGGCCCTTCCACCTCACGCACCTGAGGAGAATGATTATTATTTCCAAATTCCACATGAATTGATGTTTCTGTAATCATTACTTTAGCACACAGTTAACGTTTATATGAAAAAATCCGATACGGTATTTACTTTGAAGATGGGGATTTCAAAGGGATTTCCTTTCTTTGTTCGATAATGTATCAATCTGTTCAGTTATTTTATGGTGTCTCTTTAGCAAAATCAGTTTTGATTGAACAAATCATGTGACGGTAATTTAGCCTCTAATTCTGTTACACATAAAAACAAAGCAATATCAATACACTGACATATAGATACAATATTGCTGCATTTAGCTGCTTTTGTTGTTGGTTAATGTCTGTATCTACTTATTTGCCTTTTGCGTTACTTTGTTACATTTCAACATACGGCTGGTTCACCTGCTTGTATCTGATTATCTGTTGTGTTGGCTGCCATGACACACAAAGCCTTTGACACCAACTGCCCAGATTACGTGCTGCTTGTTCCACGTGAGTGAGTGAGAGTGATTGTGTGCTGTCGTCAGGTCTTGACCTGTCGTCAGGCCAGTTGCAACAAATGGTCAGACTTTTTTTTTACATGACCAGCCACAATCATTGATTGTTTGTCTTATCTATGATTCAATTTATATACCTTGTGCTTTCCTGTCAGGTCAAAGGATTTGGTTTGTTGTAACAAACCAGTAGAGTTACGTAAGTCTGACTTTGAACACATTTTTAGAATTCCATCGCTGTAGCTGTTTTGAAGTTTGAACGCAGCGGTGGAGTTATTCATCAATTCATCAAATTGGTTGTGTTTTTAATATTCTTTACTGCAAATGTTCTTACTAAGTTTGTCTTTTATGGGTCTACGTCATTTCTATGACATTTACTTAGTATGAATGGTTCAGATGGAACAGTCAGTTACATTCATTTTTACTTATAACAGAAAATACATTCCAGACATATCAAAATAAAAACAGTGAATAGTGTTGATGTCTGTCATTGTTTTCAACTTGGATATAAAATATTCACGACATGTTAAAAGATTCACCATCACTAAAGTTACATAGAAAGTTGTGAAGCTGAAAACAGAAGGACAGTTATGCCATGGAAATTCTGAGGGTAAATGTCAATTCCCCCTTCGAGGGATCTATTCCTGTTAAATGTAAAATGCTGTAGACGTAACATAGACAACTTCATTATTCAGACTTTTACATATATCATTTTGCCAAAAATCTGATTGAAGTCACCAAACAGTTCCCACCCAGCAGCTGTTGAGTGGTGCCAATGCACTGTTATCGCTTGCACCGCCATGTTGACTGGTGCTTTGAGAAAGTGTGAGTCTCTGCAACCAATTCTACATGTATTCATTCTAAATATACAAGTAGTAGTTAAGTCTCGTTGGCCTTGTTTCACATTTTGTTCGGACATGGTGTGTTATTTCAGAAGAGGTAAGCTATGCCACACAAACACACGAAGATAAGCAGATAAAATGGTTTACATGTTCTCATACTGGGAGTTCAAATATTATCACAAGCCAAGAGTTGATTGTATAACATAAGCAAAGGTTTCAAAATAATGAAGTACTAAATATTTTTGAAAATTATGAATTGAAGATCAGATTGGGTTACTACTGCTAAAAAAACTCTTTATTTCAAATAAAGAAATATGATCAAAACATCCCCTTTTCCTTCTTCATTTTCAGTTGTTTCCACCCTGGCAAGCTGACAAAGTTGTCTTTGGTCATCCCAAATACCAAGTTGAAGTCGGAGTCAGACAGGTGTTTCTGAAAAGCACATTTTAGTGAAACATGATATATAATACATTTTTGGTCGTATTTAACAGCAAAGCATGGTTATGCAATAGGGTGCACAATGCTGACTCATCAAAGACAGAACAGGGAAAGAATCAAGGCCTGTGTTGATTAATAAGTAATGGTCCTGAATGATAAAAACAATGAAACAGCGAGTACAATGAGAATGATGGGACGCCTTGAGTTAAATTGGATAGCAATGCTTTGTGTTATTACAAATGAACTGCCAAGGATGTTTCTCAAATGTAAATATGTAATTTTGTACAAATAAAAAGGAAAGTGGAGAGAGCAGTTTAGCTTAACATGCAAAAAATGGCCAATTTTTATACTGTCAGCTTAAATAAATACATATTGAGAAACACATTTAATATAAATATATTCAATAAAAATAAATGATTAGAATATATTTTTAGGTTTGAATTTTGCTTTTTTTATCCGAACACATAGTGAAATTAAGAATTCCCACGGTGGACAATTAAATGTGATATTTCACTCTATCACACTATGGTATGCGCGCGCACACACACACACACACACACACACACACACACACACACACATCTACCTCTTTCTGGGTTGGGTCAACACCTTCAGGCAGCTCGCTGTTTATCTTGTTGACCAAGTCGTTGGGTGGAAAAGACTGAAAGATTTTCTTACTTTCAACACACTTCTGCTCCTAGAAAGTCCCATTGAGGTTCAGTTTAGATTATTGAAATTCTACTCATTTATCACTTTCTGTTGTGGCATTGAATCAGATGGTGATCGAGTACTTTGTTGATGCAAGTTTTTTACTCCTGTCCATTAATTGTTATTATAACTAACAATAGCTAACAACATAATGCTTGAGGTTAGACTGGATGTCTGCAACCCTACAGTAACCATTCCTGAATGTGCCTCTGTACACAACCTCCATCCATTAGCGACGTGCATTCAGAAAAAGGGTAACATTTTGTATTAGACACATTTCTAAAACAATAAAACCATGCTTACTGTTGTAACATTAACCGGTGCTGCTTCTTCTCCCAACTCCTTTTTCAAATCCTCATAGCTCTTTCCTCCCTAAAAGAAAGAAATGTCATTTTTATCCTCCTCAATGTACATGTTGATGCTCCATTCCAGTTCAAAAGTACTCACATTCCATTTGAAGGGGTCCCAGGCTGTGAACCACCCAGTGAATGTGGGCGGCTCAAAACCCTGCTTGATCAAGAGGACGGGGGTGTCAGGGTCTCTGGTGCCCGGGTGGGTGCGCAGGTACTCTTGGCTGGTCACCACTGATTCTTTACGTTCAACCTCATTGGCCTCTTTACCAATCCACAGAAACACCTGGGACAAACAATAACAAACAGCCCTTTTAGGAGAAAGTAACATGGCACAGAAAAGCCTACAAAGAAATGCAGGTATATCGGGGATGTTATCATTCAGTTTTTGTACCATGCAAATGTACTACAGGCACTACATTAACTGTCTACCTCACCTGGTCCCATGTGTCCAGCAGCATGACATCATCCTCAATGAGGTCATCCTGTGTGAACTGAGTCACCTCATTCACGATGAAACAGCCCGTCTTATTGGAGCATTCGAACAAGCGCGCCTGGTGGTCGGACACCATCTGCTGTAATCTGCAATCATCAAGGTGACACGTCAAAAAAGTGGCAAACGCATTACCGTTGCTGCAAACAGTCTTCACAAAGCCATTTTTGCAAATATTAGTATCGTGTCATCATCACCTCTTCTCACTAGCATAGGGAGCTTTCCCTCCGAGCAACTCCCAGAACTCAACGGGCTCCTGACCCTCTGCCACGATCTCCTCAGAGCCCTGTCCAATCACACAGCTCACCTCCTTTGCCATGGCTCTCTCGTCTCCACTTGATCCCTGGCAACAGAAGGTGAGTCATAGTTACCATGTACACTGTATGGCAAAGAGTAAATAGAGACCCAAACATTATATATTACATTACAGGTATTTGGTTGACACTTTCATCCAAAGCGATTTACATCACATTTTTTAACCCATGGATTTTTTACATTTTTGCCCAGGGAGCAATTGGGGTTTAGTTATCTTGCTCAGGGACACTTCGACTTGGGACATGGGGCATCCGGGACTCGAACCCGGAACCACCAACCTTGTGGTTCCCAGCACACCCGCTCTACCCCTGCGCCACGACGACATCAAGAGACATCTCATCAATAACCACAGGTGTCAACTTGCTAATATGAGATTATTTTGGGAAGACTTCCCAACTGGTCCCATTTACCGCAGGAGCTAATACAATTCAGTTCATACTATCAGTGTAACATTATGATGTCAAAACATGTCTTTTACCTTTCCACACCACAGATGGATTCCTGATTGGCTCTTTAGTAAAAACACATCATTGGAGTTCAGAGAGGTAGCCAGCGCAGGGACCTCAATGGCTTTTGTGTTGTACGGGTCAGAACCATGGACCTGGAAAAACCTTATCGGGGGCTCGGGGTCGGAAGACCCTTTTCTAGACGTGCCCCCCTCAAAGAAAAAATGACAAACAGTCGTTACTCGCATAGAAACATTATCCACAAGGACACTTCCAAATAAATGATTATGAAGGGAGTTGTACCTCAAAGATGACCATTTTACCCTTAAACATGGCCAGAAAGTGTCTTGGTTCTTTGCCCATTGTTATTCTGACTTGAACTGGCTCACCACCGTACTTCTGATCCAAGTCCACAGCCTGAAATGCTGAGGCTGCAACTTCATCCTGTGTTGCATGACGACCCTGAATGAAGGGGTAAAATAAGTCAATTAAATTTTGCAGGGAAGAAATGGCTAAAGCAGTGAACGTGAGGGAAAAACTGTCTTTATGTAACAATGTAAGAAGATTAATACTTTAGTGTATTAAATTATTATCATAATCTAAGTGGCTTTTAAAGAAAATTCTCACCTGCCAAATGTAGAGCAGATAGTACTTCTTGCTGTGAACCAAGTAAGAGTAGAGGATCAGGTAGCAGTCTCCTCCATAGAAGTATCCGTACGATTGAGGGTCCACCGGGACAAGCTCCAGGTTCTCAATTCTCCACACCTGGGAACGTTAAAGAGCTTCAATAACATTACATCACAGTTCGTTGAGCTTAACGTCTGTAGAGAGGTTAGTGCTCCCATGATGCTCCAACGCTCATTGGCATGAGAAAAAAGGTGTTGGTAAGGAATCGAAAGCAAAGCATTCCTTTTTTCATAGGACGCATTTAGACATGTCACAATAAGAAACTGTGCACAGGTGTAAATAATAAAATAAAGCTCACTGTCAAACTGTCGCAGCTCAATTGAACAGAACGGAGGCTTTGTTATTGTTATCAGTAACACCTGCTGCTTTTCCTGACAAGTCAAAGTGTGGGCTGTGAAAAGGGCATTTTGAGATCTAGTTAATCAAATTACCACAAGCTATTGCCAGTCTGGGCCCCCAAGGATGTCAGCACTGAGACTTTGTCTTTTTTACCTGTTGTTATTGATCAAATTGTACTTTGATCTAATTGTTAATGGTAGCATAGCGCGGATGAAGCTGACAGTATTCACTCATGTTGATTATGGACTGATCCTCCTAAAAGTGAAATGGTCCCGGTTACCTCCACTTGACCTGATCCATCGTCCACCATTCGTTCCTGTGCAGCAACCTTTGGCATCACATGCATCAGAGAGGCATCAAACTTTTCCTGTTTGATATGAGCTGAAGCAAAACAGAACCCGTGTTTATTTTTATTCAGGATTCAGGAGCATTACTTTTATTCTGTGCTCGTTGTGTTTGTGCAAACTTAAGAACATACATACCCACTTTTCCTTTTGAATTCACTTTGCCCAGACCTTGAGTCTGGTCCTTTACAGTCCACCTCTGGAACAGCTGCTTGAAGAGAGCTGACTCTGCCCCGTCATTGACCGTCTCCACATTTGTTGTGTTCGGGTAGTTTTTGGTTTTGATGAACTCCTACACCGTCCAATCAGACAAAAACCCACGAATGCACTATTGTAGATTATTGGAGCACTCCTGCAGTAAACTGCATTAGATTTAGCTATGAGTTGTATCTTATACACTTGAGCAACTGAGTGTCTATAATATTGATCAAACACCAGCTAAAGATCCTTGAGATGATGTAGAGACACTCACCAAGGCTCTGGCCATCGTAGCCTGTCTCTCAGCTTTGTTGGCTTTCTTCCCCTTCCACACAAAGATCTTTGTCCCTCCCTGATCCAGGAAGTAGCAGTCCTAAACACACAATTGTGTAATAAGTAATTTCTTACCATCAGTAAATACTGTATTTCTGAGTCATTTCAGTCCAGACACTGGTGAACAGGATTATCCCACTAGACGAACAACCACACCCAATTTCATGGTGGCATTTTTTAATAGGGCAATATTGCACCAACTCACGTCGTGTTTCAGGAGATCCTGAACCAGTGGTCTAGAAGCAATTTCTGTGACAGTCATCTGACCATCCGCATCTGTCACACTGAAATAAAAGAGAAAAAAAATAATGAGTAGAAAGAAACAGCGCTTTGACCGGATGTGAACTACACGAAACGCTTGGCCTGGCTGCAGCTCACTGGTGAAGAGTGAGATTTGACTTCTGTTCCTGGTCAGGAGTTTTGTCTGGAGGTCCGTCTGTCAGCCCTGAGCTTCTGGCTCCAAGAACACTGTTCAGGATCTCCATAGTTTGAGGAGAGTTGCTCTCTGCGTCACCTTCGATCACTCGGATCTCCGCCCGACCTCCTCGTTCTCTGTCTCGGATGTCTTTGGCCAACATCATACCCTGAGAAGCAAAAAGCGAAACACCACAAAATCAAGAAATCTCAGAAAATGAGGTATATGATGTAAGATTTCATTGGTGTAGTGACAATCTGATTGCTAATCTGTGTACCGCAAAAGACAGAAAGAAAAAAACATTTCAACCACGCTTTTGTTAGCACACATCTGGAATGAGTCATCTAAAAGAATATGTAAAAGTGCAAAACACTGGATAAGGAGAATTTCCATTGGCTCTAAACACCTGTCATCATGGCGACAGCTGAGCAGGGGCCAGCTGAGGGAACTGCAAAAATGCACCTAACAGTGTTTACTTGAAGGGGAAGTGAAGGGGGGCGGAGGGGGGGGGGGGGGCTAAATCAAAAGCATTATGCGTTGTACTCTATGAGCGGAGTGCAGGGCAAGCACGAGCTAGCCAAATGGGCAGGCTCACATGCAAAATCATGCATCGAGCTACTTCAAAGCAACCACTATCTCTTTACGTAGCAACAGTTGTTTGTTGCTATAATAATAGTCACAATTTTGCATATTATGATGGGCCATGTTACTATTGGATAAATGTTACATCTCAACTAACTTAGATTTGGAGTACAATAGTTGTATAAGCACCTAGAATATAAATATGCCCTGAAAGCTTCAGTCCTCACTGCATTGCTGTAGTTTTGAACTGTGTGCGGTGGAATAATGAATAATTCATAGCCTCAGCCCTTCTTACAGGAAGAAGGAAATGGGTTTTGACTGCACACACAGCAAAGCTTTAGAGGATTAAACATTATATTAATATCTGGGGTGAGCAGCACGAAAAGCCTTGTTTCAGAACAACTTAAACATATATCTCACACTCCGATACAATACTGCAAATATAACACTAGAGCAGTTACAGCATGGATGTCATTTTCAGTTCCTATGATCATAGTAGATCATAGTTAAAAAACGCACACAGTCACAAACATCTTACTTTAAGTTTTTCCTGTTTGTTACTCTTGGGTCCGTTCCACTGAACGATGGTCTTTCCAATGTCCAACAAAAACACATCTCCAAGGTTGAAGCTCTTCCAGCTCATCTCCACCTGAAACAATTTAAGACATCAATCTCTCTTCTTGTGTCCCATAATGTTAAGTAGCGTGAAATGTGGCGTACCTCGTTTGCAATGACTCTTTTCCTCCCTTTGACATGAAGCAGTCTCTTAACATCATAGCAGTTGGTTTCGATGTGCCTCATACCTGATGCAACTCCACCTTTCTTACAGCTGAATAAGAAAGGATGATGATTATTTGGTTTTGTGTCTCTGTCTATAAAACGATCGCCTTCTGTACCCACATTTTCACTCACATCAATCCTTGTTTGAAGTAGCCTCTAAAGGCATCTGACTCGTGATTCTGAACCTCGCGGTGCTGGACCGGAGTGGAACCCAAGAATTCATCGAGCTGTATGGTGTAAAGAGCAGCGGCACCCTGTTCATCCGTAGTGGACTGTGAGCCGATCCAGTAGTGGATATCGTAACTGAGAGAGGAGCTTGTCTTCTGGGTCTGTGGTTGAGAGAAGGAAGAGAGCGTGCGGGGTGTCAATCAGACCCGGATCAGGTTATCTGATATATTGAAAGACAAAAGCTTCATGCTTTAGCTGTGTTATATAAAGTCTACAAATACAGTGGGCGTTTCAAATTAGCAGCCACTGCAACATAAACCACAATTAGTGACTTTCTCAGACTTACAGACAGAAGTACGTAGCAGTCGCCCTCATAAAAGTTTCCATAAGATTTCTCTGGGACTTGTACCAGCTCCATTTTCTGTTGCACAGATAAAAGAAAATTTGGTTTCAGATCTGATAGCTTAAATTTCCCCACATCCTCACTGCTGTTTTTGTCATTCATGCCAGGACTTTGGCCATTTCTAATGACCAAACACCTGATTTGGGAACTTCAACAGTCATACTGTAGTATCAAAGTGGTAAAGTACCTCGATTCTCCAGATTATAATCCCAGCGCTGTAATTCACTGCTCTGAATGTGTACTCCATGTTGCTCGGATAAGAACGGTTTCAGTGGCTCTTCTTCCCTTTTGTTGCTTTGTTTTCTTTTTTTAGAAGAGGAGATCATTATCAAATAATATTTTTTGGTAAATCAAATATAACAGAATACAGAATAACAAAAACAGAAATTTTTTAATAATTTGGAAATTTGTTTGCCTCTTCAGTCTATTTTTCTTATGATAAACTGCAGAACATGTGATTTATTGCAAACATGTAAATCAACATGATCAATTTCATAGTTTATAATATCCAACAGAACATACCTGGTATTCGTGTCCTCTGGAAGACTTCACTGCATTCTGACAACAAAAGGCCCCCAATCCGCTTCCCCTCACTGCCCCTAAATAATTTGCCTGTGTTTGCATGTTTCAGGACCTCTCACAGGTTCTGCCCAATCACTGAAGAAAACACAAAATCCTGTAGGCAAATGCGCTGAAAAGAAGGATTGTCTCATATTCAAATGCACAAACACACGGAGTAATCTCCGCCATCTTGTCAACGTGCCACGCACCTCATTCACACCATAAATGGATGTATGCTTAGCTATTGGTTGAAAGACTGTAAATGAGCTTTCACAGGAACTATTATTGAAGCTACTGATTTATTAATTATATATATATATACATATATTAGTAGCAGTATGCATGATCTTTTTATTTGTATAATGCACCTTTAAATATCTGCTGTGCTGGAAAGAAGTTTGTAAAATAGAACAATCCAGCGATGTGGGCTTTGTTGCTCCACATCTTTAAATCTCAGGATGAACTGTCGGTAATGTTGGTACTAAGCAGAGGAATATGGAACATGCGGAACATGTGGACGGAAAAAGACAGACTTTCGCTGCTGCATTTATTTGGACTTTCACTCTTTTAAAACTGACCACCGTGAGTGCAACAATGCTTTAGAGTAGCAAAGCTAAATCTATGGAATACTCTTTTAAAAACAAAAGACTGGACAGGCATTGACACTTCAAGAACATAAAATACCTTATCATAGGTGGGTGAAACCACAATATGTGGTTCAGATCTGATAAAAGGGTTATCGTCACGTAGGGAGAAACACGTGTCAGGACTTTTTGAGGTAAATGTATTGATTTCTTCTGAATACACATTCCTCACCACTCAGATTTGACAAATGTTATGAATCTCTTCAATATTCTCTTTAAATGACATAACAAATGATCAGCTGGTCATTTTCATACAATAATAAACAAATCAATACACTATTTTTTTCTAATATTACCAATTTTGAATTACGTCATGAATATAATTAGCTTATCCTGTTTTTAATGATATATTTACAGGTCGTGATAACTAGACCTGTGTGCTTACTTTTTTTTAAATCACTAAAATAATAAACAAGCCGCACATTCAAATAAACCCAATGCTTATATAAATAAACCCTAACCAATGATGGAACAAAGTGCGATAAACAAGTCATAAACTCACCTCACACTACCATGAATTAGAATGACCATATTGTAAATAACAACCTAAACAATAGACCTTCAGTTAGCAGCAATAAACAATGTCATCATGAGTGGAGTCCATGGTAACTCAAAGTAAACCCATTTTGAGGATTGTTCAAGTGTTATGAAAACACTGTCTGATGATGGCTGAAGCCTGATGTTCATGTATAACTCATTCTGTGGTTGCATATTCTATCTCAACGTATAACATGTGTATTTTGTACATTTAATGGGTTACTTAGTTACTCACTTGGTTCCAGCTCTGGAATGGTTCTGCAATGGCTTTTCTCGCAGTTGTGTCTCGAATTTGTAGCCCATCAACTCCCGGGAGTTGTAGTCTTTGCCATGATGGACTACAAAATGTGATGTTGCTTAAACATTTTGTAATAATACATTCACCTGCCACCTCTTTTTACCTGGAATAAGGTCTCTCACCGAAACCCTGCTTAAAAGATGTTTATTGTGAAAGTACACATCTTGTAAAAAGATTTAAAAAGGTAACTTTACAGAATACAGTTGTCAAGGCTTAAATTCCCTACTTAAGCATTTTTATCAGCAGTTTTATCATATTGCTCTACACACCACAGCACGGCATTGTTGTCGTTCAACTCATATTTCAAGGTTTTAAGGGGCCCTCCATTTTATGTTTTGGCTTAGAGAATCCAAGCAAAATTTACCCCCAAAATGTGTCACTTAACAGTCGAGGGCACAAAAGTCCGCCCAGTGGCACTGTGTGACACCCGCCTGTACATGTATGGTGGATGTCAGATCTGTGTAAGGGGCTCAGAGCTTGAGTTAGGGCGAGTTTCATTTTGTCTGCCCCCAGTACTACACAGCCTGGGTAGGTATAGGTATGTGTGGATAGCTCAAGTAACCATTTAAAGTAGTTAGTTTAGAATATTTGAAAATGTGATATTTAATATAACACTAAGCTATAACCCTTCTGCAGTCCGTAGAGGTCTTCACATCTTTCCTTTTTCAAAGTGACTAACGTGTCATAACTACTGTATAATGAGATCTTTTAAACAGTTTCTAGTTATCTTCATTCCATCCTTTAGAAGACTGTCTTGGAGGGATGAGAGTTCAGGACAAGGAGTCCAGTTTAAAGTAAGTCTTTGACCAGCCCTGGAATAAGCTCGCCTGGACCTTTTGAAGCAGGCGGCCCCATGGGGTGGCGCTCTAATTCAAGGCTGTGCCCATATAAAAGTGAAACACTCAGTGTTGCTGGACCCACAGTGTGGAGAAATCCCCATTTCTTTGTATCGGGTAAATGTTTCGATGTTGATTTCTCATATATACCGGTTGCATATGAAGCGACACGAGGCGTGATGTATGGGTGAGGGCAGTTTAAACATTCTAACGTTGCCAGACAACGCCACCCTGGGAATTGTTCTTCTCCACCCAATAAGGGGAGACACTCAGGTTCGTCGCAAATGAGGCAGTGACTCAATTTAAAGTACTAAATTATTTAATTTTATGTTTAAAAACAGTACCAATCAGGGCTGAGACTTTACTAGTCGATGATTGACTGTCCAAAGAAAAGGGGACCCACGGAGCACCACACGTGAAACTAAAAGTGAAGCAAACTCAGCAAACGTGCAAAAACACAAAAGAGGGACACCACCTGGGACACCAATCCCCCACCAGACTCTGCACCTGAATGGGGGGGTGAGAGTATTAGTTTTGGTTTTAGTATTTAAAATACTAAACCAAAACTAATACATAAAATAAATTTAAATAAAACCTGTACTAATAAAAGAGACAAACTGCTTAACCAAAGCTTAAAATAAAAAAAAAGTGACAAATAGCATACGATCCAAACAATTAAGCACGGACCTGTCTCACTTAGTTACAATATGTCTGGACCCAGTTAGGGTGGCCCACAGCGCTGCTGGTAAATGAGCAATGTGGAGAGGCCAAAACAAAGCAAACCCAGACAAGGGGAACTTAGCCAAAGGCAAAGCAGCCGTGGTCTCTGGCAGGTTAGCTGGTGTAGTGCTGCTGCTCAAGGATCCTTTGCCCTGTCAGTCCGTTTTGGACAGCCAGCGTGGGTCGGAGGGATCGACGCTACCACGAGAGTTACCAGCGGCGGACATTGAGTGCATGAGGTGGAGAGCAGCATACCACAGGGAGCTGTCACCACATGGAGCAGTGTGAAACACGCCATGTGTCGTAACCGCAGCCTCTGGCAAATGAGAGGCAGACAGGTGCTCTGAGGCCGCCTTTATACAGCATTGTCATGCAGCAATTGGCTGTGATCCAGACCCAGCTGGAAGATATTAGGACCAACCACTGCATACTGCCACACATATTCTAAAGTACTTTGCATGGAAGGATCAGGATGAGAAGTGCTGTTGCAAGCAGAGAGTGAATGAATGAATGAATGAATGAATGAGTGAATGAATGACTGACTGGGTGGGTGCGGGAGTTTGATACAACAGGTATGTTGTGCTTCAAGTTTTTTTTTAGAGTATGAATTAAAATTCTTTGCGGGTGGTAATTTTATATTCTTGTGTTGCAGTCATTATCCCGCTACCTGCTGTCCTTTTATTAGTTTTGATTTTGTTTTCCGTAGTTAGTCCCTTCCTGGTCCATTGTATTTTGTTCCTTGTATAGTACAGATGTAAGAGGGGACTAACTACTTTAATTTTTGTTTGTTTGCCATCTGGTCACTTTCCCTGCATTTCTCTGGACTTTCTGCAGTGCTCTGGATAGACAACCTGATATCGTGTGAGCTAACGGGTTGGTTGGTTTTGCAGTGATTTGCCGTGTACACCGGTATGCAGTGCTGTGTGATTTAAGGGGGTTTGGCCGCCATGTGGTGCATGGGTCATTCAGGTGTTGCTCAAAGCGTGTAATGTGTCATAGTTTATGTTGGGCCAGATTACACTTGTATTTAATAACTATTGTTAAACTTTATTTGCTTCCGTTTATTATATTGATAAGTTAACACTTTCAAGTTAAAAGCCTCAGGCACTCTCACTTTCGATCTTGTAATATCTGTTATCCACCCTGCATGGGTGTCTTTTGCATCAACACTCCCGAGCATACTTCACCTTCATCTGTGCATGGCATTCATTACTGACTTTGCTGATTCATCTTCTCAGTTGTTGGTTTTCTGATTACGTTTTGGTTTGATGGGGCTTGGGCTCTTAAATTAGAAAATGCAAAAGTATGGTATTGAAGTTTGTACTGAGTGAAAATAATACTGTTTTTATTTGCAAAATCGATTTAGAATTTCAAATTCACGCAGTGCATTTGACAAAATAATCATACAACAGAGCATGAATGAACTAGTTAACCTAAACATATACAAAACAATTGTTGCTTCAGGTCTGTCCTCCACAAATGATTTTTCACAAGATATAATGTCATGTTATATCTAAATAAGTAAATGAATCTTAAATCTGTCAAACTTTAAAGGACATAAAGAGTAGGACTACTGTATTATTGTATTAATTATAGTGTGAACACAGTCTGGGTTTCAGAGTTAACTAGCAAACCAAATAAAGCCAGCTCTGTTTAAACATAAGGTGTGCAGTGATAGTCATTGGTTCATACTGACTTTTGTGGTGATCTCATAATTATGGGTAAGAGCAGATATTTCCACAATAATTCCCACTTGGCAAGCTAACTACTGTTTTTGTAAAGCTGCAGACATTCAGTATTGCAACTGTTCCTGCAGGCAGAGACAGCTGGAAAACACTGCAGACACTGAAGTGCAACAAAAAACAAAAAAAACACTTCACCAATGTATTGAACTCAAATGTTTCAAATATTATTTACATTTTCGATTTTTTTTTTTCCTCCCTGCTTTTTTGTACCTCTGCGTTGAAGATTTTGAATGACATGATGAGTCTGTTTCAGGAGATACGGATGGTGTAGGACCTCCTAATTCTGAAATTATCGATTGTATCAAATGCACTGTTTTTTAATTTAGTAGCTCCCCGTGCTCCTGGGCAAATACCGACATCCTGATGGAACAGGTTTGAGTGGAACTACCAAGTGCCCTGAAGTTTATTGCCTGATGTGACCTCTGTTATTTGAGTCTCTGGTGCCTTGTGCCCCTTCTCCTGATTGATAATGTTATTTCAGCAAATGTATTCTAAACCTCTGGATCTGTTTGCTTCAAAAGGTCATGTCCTGTCAAAAGAAAGCACATTATGTCTACTTTTACCTTTTGAGAATAAAGTTACTATAGTTTGGATTGAAGCTCAGGACAATTTCTAAGAAATGCATCTGTTAGTTCATACAGCGATTTATTGCTTTGTTACAGAGTTTAATGACGTTGATTCAGATCTACAGTGGATGGTTTTCCACTCAGTACAGGATCACAGTGCCTCACTGAGCCTGGACTCCCACTCACATTACGCTTCCTCTTCCTACGTAACATGTGGTCCTGTGCCACATCATGTGTTCTGAGTAAAAACACTCCCTACCCCCTAAAGGTCATACATACATTTAATATATGTTTATATATATTTTTTTCCAAAGGTTGTTAATCGGCTAAAAGCCAACGTGAAAATAAACCATAGTGACTTGTCTCTCTTGGGGACTGGGCACCTCCATCTTTACCAGATGTATTTGGCTCCTCCCAGGCAGTTTACTAAAACATTCCAGCCCACCTCTGGGAGTCTGCTTCCTCCTCCACACACTCTCACTCAACCCAAGGAGCTAGTGAGACTGAGCCGACACAAAATGAGAGCACTCGTTGTCTTGGTTACTTTGACCTGCTTTGCCAACGCCCAGCACCAGGCACTGATTGACTACTTGGAGCGAAGGCTGCTCACTATTGAGGTAAGACTCCTTTTACCTCCCTGTCGAGCCCTGCGCTCCAGAGTCCCTCTGAGGGGAAACTTCCAGGCAATGGAATGCAGATGTAGGAAAATCCTGGGGAAAATGGTGGAAAATACAGGTCTCTGAAATGCATCAAGGAGAATGAGAAGCATGTCTGGGTTCAGAGACTTTAAAGAAAATGAAGTTTAAAGTTAGATTAGTATGGATTTAAATATGATCTAAAAAAAAGGTTTTTAAATTGTTAAAATGACATGGAAAAAATTATGAAAGGTGGATTGTTGAGAGGGTTTCTGCAGTAGTGGCCTCCCATCATCATTATATATCTATATATTTTATATCATCAGGATGATGATTTTAAATGAATAACACTATAATGGATATACATATCTCAAAGACCCATTCACAGCTTTCCATGGGAATCTTGTCATTAGGTTTGTCTGTTCTCATATTTTGGTTTTGTTTATATGAAAAAGGTAAATACAAACATGTTCTAGGTTTGAGTCATTTTAACACACATTATATAACTCAACAGAACTCTCTCAGAATATAATTTATCTCATAAATCACATATCCCTGAGTGTCTGTTACTCTGTCAGTTTACTGATCACCTGTAGAGAAACATCACTTTTTATTTTCCTCCTCCACAGTGAGGTCAAAGGTCAGAGTCTGCTACGGAGCATGCTGCTAGGATTTTCCGTTTTGCTAAAAAAGTCATTTGAGCCGGGTGGAAACTTGCCACGTGTGGACTGAACCTGTGTGTTTAACGGATGAGTGTCCTACTTATTATGGCCTTTGGTCTCGGCCTATTTAAGGAGCTTAGAAATAGCATAAAATCATGGCCTCCTCCTAAGCGTTCCAGAAGTGCAGTCACAGTTCCCGTAACATCCGGACATCATGCATTACTCACATTACACTTAGGATAGGGACAATGGACAATGGTACCCTCTTCCACTTGTGTCAAACTTCCAAAACAGGACCGGATCTCTCTGTGGCATGAGCAGACCGCCCGCTACGCCTCCGAGCTGCGTGCTTTGAAGCAACAGATGGTTTCCCAGCTGGAGACCCTGGATAAAGAGAAAGAGACATTGAGAATGACTCTGGACGGTGTGGGGACGAGGGTGGATCGGGTTGAGCGTGAGCTGGACTACCTAGAGACTCAGAATGGAGCGCAGCCGTGTGTGGACGTGGACGACAAGCTGATAGAGCAGCAGGTGACGCTGGTGCAGGAAAAGCAGAGGGCCAAGTATTCAAAATTATCAGGTGAGATATGATGTAGCAGAGTACAAGCTGATTATCAGAATAAACATTATATTGTATTGAGAATGAACCTGTAGATACTGAATCTGACCAACAACTATAACCTTAATCTACAATCATTTTAAATATAAACAAAGAAAACTCAAATCCTCCAGTTTGTAGGAATTTAACCATTTGATTGATTATTCAAGCTGAAAAAACACTAATGTACTTATGAGAGAGTATCGATGGATCACTTTTCAATTACCTAAAGTGTATTGATTGGAGATAATATTCCACACAAATAATCCACTGGTGAGGCATTGACCCTAATGAAAGCCCTTTGACCACTTTGGCTTTGCTAAGATTTGGACAGACCATCTTGTTTCTGAGATACATTGCTTATCACACGCTATCAAACGTCACAAAAATTGCTTTTTGGTGGCCCTGAAGTGTTGAATACAACATCGAGACAGAACACTTTCCCCAACTACGTCCAATGTTAACCTCTGCTTTATTTGCACAGCCTAAACCTGGTACCTGCGGCATGTTTATCAAAAGCACCAACTCAAGCAAAAACAGTTATTGTTTTTAATTAAGTTTCTGTTGTTGCAAGGGAATTAAGATGGGTTTTGCACTTTTGCACTTTAACAAGGTTAACAAATGGTGGCAAAGATCTTCATTTTGAAAGCATTCCCTAAAATGTAGAGCTATGCCATTAGCTAAACTCCTGATAAAATATGAACCTTGCTAACATGTCTGTGAGGTGTCCCCTGTGTCTGTCGCTCTCTCCCACAGACTGCAGCGAAATGATCTCCAGCATAAAAGCCATGAAGATCTTGAAGCGAGTCGGAGGACCAAAGGGAATGTGGACCAGAGACACCGGCAGAGGCTCTGGGAAGGTCTACGTTTTCAACGGGACGGATGAAGACACCATCCACGTGTTTGCGTCCGTGCAAGACTTCTCTCGCTCGCCGGGCGTCACTCTGTCCAGGAACCTAAAGCTGCCGTCCGCTTGGAGGGGAACAGGACACGTTGTCTTCAACAACTACGCGTATTATTTCACTCAGGCAGAAGAGATAATGTTGATTAAATTTGACATGAATAGCAGCTTTGTGAGAGACAGCACAGTGTTCCCAGTGCAGGACCACGTCCCGGTGTACGGCCTGAACCCGGAGACAGTGATGGACCTGGCCGTGGACGAGGAAGGCCTGTGGGCCATTTACTCCACCAGGCAGAGCGAGAGGTACATATCTCTGGCAAAAATTGACGCCACCTCGCTGGACATTGAGCAAATGTGGGACACAAACTGTCCAAGAGAGAACGCCGAGGCGGCTTTTGTCATCTGTGGCACTCTGTACGTGGTGTACAACACCAAGCAGCCTGGGCGCTCACGTGTCCAGTGTGTGTTCGACGCCAATGGTATGGTGACCAACGAAGATGCGCCACTGATTTACTTTCCAAAGCGGTACGGATCGCACTCTAGTCTGAAGTACAACCCGCAGGAGCAGCTGCTCTATGCATGGGACGATGGCTACCAGATCCTGTACAAGCTAATCATGAAAAAGAAACTAGAGATTTAAACCCAAAAAAAACACCACACCATCAACCACCACAAACCAGACCCAAGTCCCATTAAAGCAAGATAGAAGTTTGGACTCTTTAACTAAAACATGTGTACTCAATATTACTACAGAACATTTTACATTTTAGAATCTGCCCCTGGTTTACTTTATGAATGTATGATCTGATTTCATCATCATTGTTTTTGTTAATGCGGCAAATATTATACTATAGATTGGTACAATTTACCAAACTGCTCACTTTAATCTAAATGTATCAATCAATCTGTATTTTTTTATTTTACATGTCATTTTGTCTAGATCATGGTAGCATCAATGATGCATAAAACTAGTATTAACCTCTAGTTCAGCATAGTACATTTCAAATAAACAATTTGTTTAGTTATGCTTCACATTTGTCAGATATAATGCTACCATATAAATGTTGTCACTATTGTGGGTAACCTCACAGCTGCATTAAACGTGTCTTGGATATTAGGATACGTGCAGAAACAGCTAGCTGGCTAGTGTCGTTTTTTTTCAGTTTATGCATGTGATGAACTTCCGGTCCAAAGCGAGCACATATGTATTTTGTGGCTTTAACTTTTTACTAAATGGCACCAAAAAAGGGCACCACTATTTCAATTATACATCTGATATTATGGAATTGTTTAGTTATATATAATATATAACATTGATTTCCTACTGTTTTACATTTTAATTGTTGTTGAATGTTGAATTTCAAGAAGAAATGCAAACTACACTTGTTAATGCAAGAAGTCATTCATCTCCATTTCAGAGAGTAAGATGCAAACAAATTCAAAGTAATGGGTTTGTGTGATAGTTTTCTGCTACTGTACTATCTACTATCTTTTCTCGATTTCAACTTTGTTTCTTGAAGCTGACCTGCACGGACTGACGTTGACATACGGCGTGACTAATAAAAACATGTTTAGTTGGAAGTCTATTGGTTATTTTATTGGAGCACCAAATGGTTTGTACTGTTTTGTGCAGCTTTTTGCAGGGATTACTTTGCTTAAATAGTAAAGAATCATGGCTTCTAAAAAGAGCAGAGTTAAAAACTCCAAAAGCAATACTTTAGATATTAAACTGCAAGCAATGAAGGATAAACATTACCCCAAAAAACACACAGGGGAAAATCTACAAAAGGACTGTGTAGTTTCCAGCAGGTGCCAGTGCTTATATCTATGTGTATCTTTTTATTCTATTTTCTTCCCTCTACATGCTGCTGTGATACCAAAATGTCCCTCTTGAGGGATCAATAAAGTATCTATCTATCTATCTATCTATCTAATAAACTGAGTGAACATCAAAGCACCTTTTAAAGGTGAACCACAGCCCTGGCTGCGCTGTGAAGCACGCAGCCCCTGGGTGCTGACATGCTGTTTGCGCATATTTAAATGAGATAATATACATACATTTGTTTCTCTAATATTGTATAGAATTGTCAACGCATTTTATATTGTACACTCTTGATGTCTCCAGCCAGGCAACACGTACACATCCAGACTTTCGAGTGATCGTATAGCAGCACTGATTGCATCCGGGGAAAGGCGCCCTTATCAGTTATTTTGGATTAGTTGATTTTACAGTAGCTCCTCTACATGTCAATATTTTAAATACTTTTTAAAAAGAATGAAAATAAGATTGATATCTACCTTCTCTCCCTGCAGGAATATCATAGCCGTGTTGAAAATGTTGTTTATCGGTGTGACACGATACCATCAGTTCATCCTCTAATTTTAATTCATGGCTTAATATTTCTTAAACAATGAAAACCGTACCGATGCAATACTTTCACCAGACTTCCTAAAACAAATAGTGTATTTCATGTGATTCTTGGCCTAATTTGACTATGAATTAAGTCTATAACGTATCCAAGTGTTATAGGAATTTCATTTGAACAATACAAGGCAGCATTTGACTCTGATTTGGATTTATTGTTTCCTTTGGCTCCAGAACAGAAGAAACCACCACTCACTAAAACCAAACATGAAACCCTTTAAATGAAGAGTAATAATCGATTAGTTCAAAACCCCAAATCATCCTGGGGGTAAAAAACAACAACACCCGTTGTTTACACAAGTTTATTTTTGCAAACCGTAAATAAACAACATCCATAAAAAAGGTTAATTACATTTTAATAAAATCGAGAGTAAGAAAGATGCAACAGCACATTGACTTCTGTAAAAACTGAATTTCCACAGGTTTTGTATATCACAACTGTATGTACAACGCTGACAACTTCAGTTGGGTGAGAAATTCTCCCAACAAACCTCAATGACCGATAAACATTTTTGTGTATTAAAGAACCAAACGTGATGTTATGAATTAATTTAAGGATTTTTGGGAGGTAACGGTAAAGAATTTAAATGCAAGAAAATCAACCCAAAAGAACTGGATTGTGATTTTTTTAGCACAAAAACTGTTGTATGAAGACTGTAACTCACATCTTTCATTCAGCCGCTGCTCAGTTTAACAGAGCGTTTGTTATTTGCACTATCCCACATACTTAATCAATTATGTTTGAGAGTAACTACTTCAATTTGGACATCTCAAAAGTAACATATTATTTAAACCGGGAAATAAAATAGGGGACTATTGAGTCTATCTGACGTGCGCACTAACTCAAGTCAGAGCAGAATCTCAATCAAAAACATGTACAATTACATCAAAGATGGTTTGCACAGAAATATCTGCAAAGTAATGATGTTGAAATTACAGATGAACACATTCATAACTATTATAACATTGCCGCTGAAGAAACAGCCAAACTCTTGGGACGTCTATAAGGCTAGAAAGCTGGTTTTAGGTATCATCAACTATCCAGTCAAGGATGCAATGTGTCCTGAAGTGCCCACTTTTTCTGTCCATTCCAGTCGTTGTTATGAGGTGTGGTGAAAGTGTCCTTATTGCTTCGACATTGTTGGCATTAAAATGGACCGATGATTAGCTCGACTCAGAGTCTCAGATGAGGAATTGGCATGGTGACGTCTCGGAAGTATCGATGCACAAGGGCGTTTTTGGCAGATAACCTTTTGTTTGGGTCATAATTCAGCATTTCCTGGAAGCACAAAAAAACAAATATTGCAAAATGTAGTCAAAAGAATGATCCCCATCATATTTTTCTGCAGTTAAAAGAAAACACTACAGCTAAATGAATCTATGAATTATTGACAAATGATCTCACTCCAAGCAGTTCTCTTCCATCCTCATCAAGAATTGGCACTACTTTGGATAAATCCTGCCGGGCCCACTTGGGAAAAGATGGTTTGTAGTCGGGCATTGATGTGACTCCTGGCCAGACTGTCTCGTCAGGTGTCCCCAGGGTTCGGAAGATTCGGAATAACTGATCGATCTCCGAGTCCCCGGGGAATAGGGCCCTCTTGGTGAGCTGTGCAACAGTAGACAGTGAGGTAAGTCTGTTGGTTAGATGTTACGTTTGATCCATGTGCATCATGTTTAGGCTTCATTCACACATGAGCTTATTGTATAGTGTACAGTGCATATTACCATTTCAGCAAAGATGCACCCGAGACTCCAGATGTCGACAGCTGTGGAGTAGTATTTACAACCCAGGAGGATTTCTGGTGCTCTGTACCAAAGTGTCACTACCTGAAAAATATCAGAAATCAGCCAGACTGAAATATTCAAATCAATGCACTGAAACAAAGGTGGGGAAAACAAGAAAACACTGCTTTGTTAAGCAAAAATCCACATGGAAAATGGAAAATTATAAATGCGAGTATAGGAAGACGTTTTTTGCTGTTGACTATATTGGTATATCGCTGCATCACCCACTCTGTGAAACGCTGTGTGGTAAAGCTCCGAAAACCAAACAAGTAATACTTAGGCGCCAATCTATTCCTGAGGGGATATATGGCGATGTTTCCTGTCACACGGAGGTGCAACGGCTAAGCGGAGAGAAAGTACTGAATAGATTTGAGGTGCGTGAGGAAATCTGCCAGGTTCTGTGGCACTGTGAGCTGGCCTATTTATGCAACCGAACAAAGCATCTCACAGCACCAAATCTCCATCTTTAAGGACGTGTGATCCCTGACACGTGTGATGCATGGAGAGCTTTCCAAGCCAAACTGCGCCTGTGAGAGACTGTTCTCTGGAATGAAGATGGACAAGACCCACACAGTCTGGTCTCACTGATACATACCGTCTTTTCCCCCCCAGACTCAGAGGAAGCATGATGGAGTGCACAGCAGCGCCCTGATCCTTGCAGTATCTTTTTAGTACCGATACACCGTGCAACAGTAGGTGTGAGTAGCTGTAGACGTTACCTCATGTGTGTACGTGCGGACAGGCACACCGAAGGCTCGAGCTAGGCCAAAGTCAGCGAGCTTGATCTCCCCCTGGGCGTTGATGAGGAGGTTCTGGGGCTTCAGGTCTCGATGAAGGACCCTGTGAGAGTGGCAGAAGGCCAGGCCTTGAAGCAGCTGGAAAAGATAACTCTACGAAATACACACACACACAAACACACACACGAAACATGGTTAAGTCAACTCAGAAGAAGAAAGCTAGAAAGATCTGTTTTGATCAAAACTGGCAGGTATTTACCTTCACCAGAGGCAGCGGGATACCAGCAACTGTGAAAGAGTCCATGAACTTTTTCAGATCCTGATGAAGGAACTCAAAAACAAGGTAGAGCTTGTTCTCGGTGTGGATGACATCACGCAATCTGAAACACGTCAAGAGGCAGCTCGGCTTAAAAACTGACCGAACAGAGTATTACAAGAATCTTGCAAGCAGGATTTAGCTAGAAAGGCGTAAAATCGGGTACTTACTTGACAATATTTGGATGACTGAGTTCTTTGAGGAGGGAAATCTCTCGGATGGCAGTGCTAGGAACACCCTCCGTTTCCCTACATGAAACATGTGGTATTTTACCCGTGTACGTTACTGAAGCTCATTCACATAACCAAAGATATACTAATATTTCCCTTTAATATAATTTACTGCAACTTGGTTATTACACATTATATTGACTTGTTACAATATGATTTTAAAATACGTGTTACTCTATATTTTGTGTATCTTGACATGACAAACCGTCGGGGCAATTTAAAGAGAAAAGGTAACGATGTCCATTGGGGAGCTGTACAGTCTCGCTCTTGTACTGACATCGCTTAAGACGCTGTCAATATTTCACTGAACCATCACCGCCAGAGAACACGAGATAAGAACAGGAAACCGGACAGAAACACTGGATAAGATAAAGTCACTGACGCCACCTGCTGAAGCCCGGTGGCATCAGCTGTTAGACACAGCATGGGGGCAAATTTGGATTACATATATAATTCATCTTAGAGGCCTACAATAAATAAGTTTCACTAGCAATACTAGTAAAATACTAGCCCCTGAAAGATGAAAATACGCTACAAAAATAAATAAGCTTGATTGCTGAAGTCAAACAGCTGCAGTAAAATGGGCAGGATGTCAAACGTGAGCAGGTTTTATATCAGCAGTAAATGCCGCTGCAGTTGAACATCTGGGGCTTGAGAAAAAGAGATATGGCCCCACACTGATGGGAGAACAATAGAACCGAATCGCGTTTTAAGTTTTAAGCCCAGTAGAAGCCGCAGACAGCGTGAGCTCGGCCTCCCGTGGTGCCCAGGTGATCAACCGACACTCATGACTGGACTTACGTGTCTAGACGGATTTTCTTGAGAGCAACAGTTTCTCCGGTGACTTTGTTCTTCGCTTTGTAAACCACTCCGTACGTCCCCTCGCCTATCTTTTCCACCTTCTGAAACGTATCCATGTTCACCCAAAATGGACAGAGCAGGAGGTCTGTGTTGGTAGTTTGGCTAGTTAGCTGGACTCCCCTCTTTGTGTGTGAGCTAACTGCTCGGCGGCTACATAGACCGACATACAACTTAATTCACTCTGGGTTCAAACGGATCGGATGGACCGCGGCCGGTGCGTCCTTTCGAGGATGCTTTAAAGTTTCTCAGATCAGGGAAAAGACGTAAAACTGTGGGGCCAGGTCATTTATTGTCTTTGATAACTATAATATGCGTAACTATCCGTAGTAACGGCTGCTCCTCCCTGGAAAACACTGAACTAACACAAGAGCGTTTCCCGCGTTACTTGAGCAGCGCTCGCTTTTATGTTCAGGATACACCGGCTGATGGCGCCGGGTGGTAAGTCAGAGTTTTACGAATCGACTCCTCAAAGCCGTCTTCCTCAGGAGTCGTTTTGACGGCTACCGGTGCCAACAAGTAAGTCAAAGCTTGTGGTATTTTCAAATACAGACAGCTGAGGTTAGATTCTTGGTTATTTGGTAGTCCAGATATGGAGTGGTTCTATGCCGGGAGAGACGCAGACATCTAACTAACGAACCTGTTTGGTCACGTCGTAACAGGGCGATGACGTTGTACGTCATCAACGTCAGAGACGGAAGTGGTAGCGAAGAAAAAACGTTTGTGGATATAAAAGAGCAAGTACAAACGTCTTGTGCTAAAATACAAATTGATCTGTTACATTATAAATATTTCAAGAAAGAAAAAATTGTTCGGCTTAATTTATAATTTGGTTTATACTTTATACATGAAGGGATTTTTTGATCAGCTCAGGTTAGACAATATATTTTGTTTATTTTTGCATACTTTTTGCAACAAAACAATGTGGTCAAATATGCTGCAGAGTGTCAAATAATTAACTAAATAGCCCCATGTTTCATAGTATTGTAGCGACTCTCGCTAATGAAGCTCCAGACAATGGACTCTTTTATGTTTTTTATTAATCAAACAGGCTACTGTGGGCCGTAGCCTACGCCGAACAACAACAAGCACCTCCGACACAACCCACGCTCCCGCTTTACCTACTATATCCGCCCCCAAACAGCCCCACAACATGTCCCCATAGGTGGCACAAGGATAACTGGCGTAACGTTTACTGAACTACTAAACATAGTAAATTGGGACTTCGCTTACTGAACATGCCAGTCCGTTACAGTATTCTAAAACTAAAGACATTGCTCCCTCTACTGGCAGTAGTGTAGCTGTGCACCCTGCCCTGATCATGCGCCTCGGGAGAAGCAAGACGATAGAGTTTTGCAGACCCTTTTCACAGCAGACATTTTGACTTGTTATAGCAAGAAAACCACTAGATAAACCTTTAATATTCCAAATATCTCTTCTCCGTTAATCATTACAACATTTTGCAGAAATTCACTGTTTTCTAGTTGATCCTTGTTAAAAATGTATTTTCCACTTAGTTTTTTACTCGTGTTTCACTCCCATCATGCGCAGTGGCTTTGTGTTTCATCAAGGCACTGATTCACCAGTTACGGGATCACAGACCTGCTGGGCCTGTGGGGTCAGGTAGATCTCGATCAGGCAGCGTGCATCAAAGGTTCCCGGGCAGAGTCAAGCCGATATGTCTGTAGGACAATCGCACATATAAATAAGGAAAATAAATCTTCCAGTTTCAGAATCCTGGATTTGCTCATTGTGACACTGTCATTCTGGAATGGAGAATGGGCTTTGTTAATTATTTTAGCAGAACCTGCTCATTATGGCAATGACAATGTGTGGGGTGAAAAATACAAAGGAGTGGTCATGAGGCCTTGGATGTGATCTGTTACTGCTTGAAGAAACAACCTCTGTTAGATGTTCACTCACCGTCACTGCACATGATCAAAGCCCAGAGGCTTGCCGAGCGTCCACCCTGCAGTTACGTAAAGTGACGATCATGCACAAGTCATGTATCCCACGACTGAAAGTTTTGCTTTATTCTTGCAGAAGAATGCTGTTGTTTGTGGCAATGAGGAGAGCGATTGACCAACAAAGACAAAGAATTTGGATCATTGACAAAGCTGAGGGAAGTTTGTTTAAGCCTTCTGAATACACCAAATGACAGCAATGCTTGCTTTATTCGATAACCTAATTTCCGTGTCCTGTGTGATCTTGTTCTAGCAGTTTACAAACCAGAAGGATTTATTGATAAGGCTTTTGATCATAATAAAGCACAATCTTTCTTTTCTTTGAGTAAGTTTGTGTGATGCAGGTGGAGGACGAGCTGTGTGTTTGTATAATTTTAGTCATCCAAGCTTAACTGTGGTCCTGATGTTGAATCTTATGCCCTTCTGTTGCTTTTCACAGCACGTTATGGCTGTTCCACAAACTATTTATTTGGATTATTCCCTTATCTTATAATAATCAAATAATTTCATCTTGGGTTGCTGTTAATAAAAATACTGAAAAAGTGTATTACTTCTGGTGACCCCCAATCTGTAATACAAATCTGTTTATTCTAGAAAGTCCCCAAAACCTTGAAACAGTTTTATTAAAATACAATGGAGACTAATGAGGAAAGAATATGTGTGGTATGTTAAGTCAGTTGCTCTGTGGGAAGGATTTATTTCCTCCTGAACTTCGCTGTTAGCACATGAGGGGTCACATGTAGTGCAGCCTGAACAGGCATGAGATAACATCAGTGGGAAAACCCACAATTGTATCTTGAATAAAGATGTTTAGTAAAATATTCTCAGTAAAATATAATTTCTAAAGGATATATTCTATATTTAATTTGATTACACTATTTTAAATTAACAAACAAATAAAATTACACAATGAGAGAAGTCATTATGAAAATGAAAAAAAATGAATCATGAAGAAAGATACAAATAAATAAAAGCAATTTACGTGATACAAGCTATAAGCTCCCGTCAAACTTTTTTGTTAAATCGTTGGCTTCTTCTTCAGATTCACACCACTCTGCTTTAGTATTTCATGGGATGATTGCAGCTTCTATTTCCCGCTTTGTAGAAAATGAACCCAGGAAATCAGATGAATAATTTATTGTGTTGTATTGATATCTTGTTTCTGTATTCATCGATGTGTTTTCCCTTGTGTGACTTGAAAACTCTTAATTTGGCTAAATTTCTCAAATTTGTTGTATAAACCAGCCTGTATCTAAAATACCAATTTACCAATACCAATAATTTTGTGATTCTTTCGTTTTTTAATCACTTCTAGAATCAATCAGCCCATTCCTCCAAATCTATTCTTGTCCTTCTCTCAATGAAAGTTATTGCTCATAAACTGAACACGGGTGTGTCTGCGACCACAGAGAGCTGCAGCAGGATGCGGAGGAATGGCTGAGGAAATAAAAGGATGCTATTGATCCGTAGCCCACATAATGCTCTTGTGACGCCCGTGCCCACGTAGCGCTACGGTCATATGTCAAAAATGAGCATGACTCGAGCTTAGCTCACAATTCTCACCACTATCTCTGTCCTGAAGCAGGCATCACGTACACCGCTTCCATATGCCCTGTGCAGAAAGTAACCATTGATTTCACACAAGATACTGTCTTCATTGAGATTTCTCTGCCACTTTCTGTTATTTTAAATAGTTTATGTCCACTATATCTCCCCTTTGGAGCTCTTTTGTTTAAAGTTACTGTACAAATACATGAGCTTTATTTGAGATATTGCATTTATGACTAGAAATTTAAGTTTGGAATAAATGTGAAAAGATTCAAAACATTAAGTATAAAGCATTTCTAACGCAGATGGGGTCGAAACATTTAATAAAAAACACAATAAAAATGACAAAAGCTGTTAAACTAAAAAATGTATTGTAAAAATCACCAATAGCCATCACAACAGTACTCATATTTGTTCTTACCAAAGGGGTGGTGCCAGTCTGAGACTCCCAAAGATGTCAGAGGTGAGAAGAAACCTTCTTAAAGAGAGTGAGCGGACATTTCTAAAGTCTCTGTGGGAGTGGTGTTTGGGTGCAGGACCGCCGGTTGACAATCAGGACTCAGAAAACAGAGAAAGACGACCCAATTCAGGATGAAGACTCTGGCGCTGGTGCTGCTGGGTTTGGCCTTTACATTTGCAACTGCGTCAAGTGAGTAAAACTATTTTCCCATCGGAAACCTCTTGTTTCAAAGATTTCTTTGAGCGTTTTCTTTTGCTTTTCAGTGTTTTCTGTTTCATTTGACTCAACCAAGATCTGAAAATACATATAAAAGTCGAAATGCCCTATCAACACCATTCTTCTGTTATGTTTCAGAGAAACAAATTATTTCTTTTGTTTTCTTTGTGACATAACAATTGCCACCAACACAGTTTAGTGACAGTTTAGTTGAGTTCTGTGACTTCTGTTTCCCATTAACTAAACATAGAATTGTTAGTAGGAAAAATGTGATTTGAACAAAAACATTTTCAGTGTGACGCATAACTCATTTTACCAACAGTGTAGCAACGGGGAAAGTGATTACATGTCATTTTCTTTGACTACATCAACGCACTCCATCTATCAAATACACATAGCATTTCTTTGTTTGGACTGCAAATTGATTAATCTGTCATTTCACGCTGATTACCTGATGACACAGGGAGTGTGTCTGTTAAAGAGAGTGAAGATATACAAACTTTTACATGCCCATTTTACGCGATTTCTTATGCCGATGTGCTTTCATGAATATATAAAAGCTCAAACATATATTTCAAGGTGTTCTGTGATTCAGAATTGTGTACTTATTAAGTCCTTAATGGTACACAATGTGTGTGTGTGTGTGTGTTTTCTCACAAAAACACACACACACACACACATCACAAGCTGAGAACCCCCTCCCCGCCCCTGAGCCGGTTGTCTGGGATCCCTCATTCCTCACACTGGGATTACTGATGCTGCTGCTCAGCTGATAGTCACATGAAAGGGATTGAGGGGGATTGCAGGTCGTGTGACTCCCACCGCCACTCCTCACCCCGACTCACCCCGCCTCGCAGACCTGCTCTCCTTTACATAAGCAATAATGTACCTATAGCCTTGATTATAGTAGGGAATTTGTGCCTCTTTTAAAAAGCCCGCACAACTTAAATTCCTCTGAAATAGGTAGGTTATTGCATACAATCAGTGATCTGACACCAAAATGAATAGCATTTTTACCACACTGACAGCAACTAAGGAATACAACCAAACTGTTATTTTGCAGGTGCAATTGAGGTTATAAATACAGAAATTCAATTTCATTTTATCCAATTGTATTATTGTTTGTGTAGCAGAATAGCGTACATTGCAAGATTAATAGCTTCTTCTTCTAAAAATGTGTTTGTGATATTTCTTCCAGAGCCTAGAAGTCAGTTTACACGTTACCGCTCATGGAACTCGCGGAAGTATCCGGTGTGGAAAGATGGTGACCCAAGATTCAGGAACTGCTGGCTTGGTGAGGACCCATTTCTTTATTTTTCAAGACAGAAATGTTACAATATTCTGTTTGGCAGTTAATCTTAACATTTTACATTGTTTTGTGCTTTTCTTTTTCCAGGTGGTGAAGTCACTTTTGATCTGAAAAACGATGCACCCACATTGACAGGAGCAAGAGCAA